CAAATCCCTGATTTAGCCTACTTGCGAGTAGCAAACTTCAAATCATTTTAATAAACGAACATGCAATGTTTTGTTCCAACTTAGGCGATCTAGTCTATACTTGTGTGCTGTGCGCATCACATAATAATTCTAAGTTAATAACCGGAATAAGAACACATGTGTTTTCAAAAACAAAATATCATGTTAGTAAAGGCTGATTTTTGATCGGGCGAGCGGGGTTGCTCATTGCATGGCCTTCCCCTCTCGTACCCAAGTTCCCTAGCCGAGGCAACTTTGGTGATGACGGACACGTGGCCATAGGCACGAGTCAGGATTTCCTAAATTTCCCCCAAAATAAAACATTTAGGTGGTGACTCTGTATCTTGTAAAGCAATCCATGTTTGGCACTTCTTTATACAAATCGGTTTTCCAAAATGATTTGCTGGATTTGCACTCTTTGGTGATTTATCGGTCTTGCATTGCACTTTGCAAGATTAGATTCAGAACCGTGACATTGAGTCTGAACTGTAGTAACTTATGAACAAAACGATTTCGCGCCTTCGCGCGCGGTGTCAGAACGTCTGGGCGGTCTACACATAGCTATCTGATGGTACCCCTTGTAAGCATCCAGGAAGCTCATCATTCCATGCCCTGAAGTGGCATCCACCAGTTGGTCAATCTTGGGTAATGGGAAGCTGTCTTTGGGACAAGCTTTGTTCAGGCTAGTGAAGTCCACACAGACCCTCCACTTCCCATTCTTTTTCTTCACAACAACCGTATTTGATAGCCATGTCGGGTAACTTACCTCTCAAATGGCTCTGGCCTCCAAAAGTATGTCCACTTCTTCTTTTACTGCCTCAACGTGTGTCAACGTCGGCCTTCTGGCTCGTTGGATTATAGGTTTGGCTGACTTGCCCACATCAATGTTTGTGGGCACATCAACCTCGGGGTCAATGCTAGGCATCTCGTAAAGCGTCCAGCCAAACACCTCAATGTTTGTTCTCAAGAACGCCTCTAGTTCTTTTTCTTCTTCTTCGGCCAAGCCCAAGCCGAGAATAAAGAAGCGTTCTTCGTCCCCTTGCTGGACAAGGACTTTCTTCAGGGCTTCCTCACTCTTCTTGGCTGGCTCTTTGCCGACGTCCTCCAGGACTTCCATGTCTTCATCCTCAACCTCTAGTAGTTTTGCTTCCCAAGTGTTGCAAGTAGATTTCATTGCTGCCATGGAGCAATTCTTTGCTTGCACTTGATCCCCTCTAACCTCCTCTATCCCATGCTCTGTTGGAAATCGCAACAGCTGGTGCAATGTTAAGGGAATAGCCCCCATTGCATGCAGACATGGTCTTCCCAGAATTGCATTGTAAGGAGAGGGGGTGTCAATTATGGTGAACTTTGTCTTCACCCTCATGGTGCCAGCCTGCACCTCTAAGCTTGCTGCTCCCAGGGGCCATGTCGTCGTTCCATTGAATCCAACCATTGGACTGTTGGACTGTTCCAAGTCATCTTGGTGAAGGCCAAGCTCCTTGTAACACCTGATATACATGATGTCACAAGAGCTGCCCTGGTCGACTAAGATGCGTTTCACTTGGCACTCTCCAATCTGGAGGGATATTACCAAGGCATCGTTGTGTGGATGTTGCACCATCTCCAGGTCTTCCTCAGTAAAGGCCACCACTGGTCCTTGGTTCTCGCCTGTCCTAGGTCTCTTTTTCCCGACCTGATATACATATTGCAGGTGTTTTACCTTTTGGGTTTCCCCCCTTATCTCATTCTCATTTACCTTTGAGTGGATCTCATCGATCACTCGAGGTCCGCTTGCCTGTGGTTGTGGTGCTGGTGGGGGTGGTGCTGTTGATGCCTGGGGTAGTCTTGCCTGCCCTTCCCTTGTTCTGGCTTCATCTACGATGTCCCTTAAATGGCCCTGTCTTACCAGGTCTTCCAAATGTGTCTTCAGGGCTCTGCACCCCTGAGTCAAATGGCCAGCTTCATTATGGTAAGCACAGTGCTTGTCAAGGCTTCTTTCCATAAACTCGCCTGGTACCCTTGCTGGTGCTCTGTAGTAGGGCTGATTGCGGATTTTCTCCAAGACTTTGTAAACTGGAATTTGGAATACGGTTGTGACTGCCTGAGTAGCCCTTAATCTGATTTCTGGTTTGTTGTAGCCACCATCACGTTGGCCTCACTTCGGCGAGCCGTTTTTCTTCTCTGGTTTCGGCGCCTTTGTTCCGGCGTATCCTCCTTGGGCCTGGCGTACTTCTCTATTCTGGCCATTAATTCCTCCATACTTTTTGGCAGTGTTTTTGCCAATGATTTTCGGAGCAGACAATTATCTTTTAGGCCGTTCTTAAATGATACGACCGCTACCTTTTGGTTGCATTCTGGTATCTAGTTGAATACCTCATAGTACCTTTTGGCATAGGCCCTCAGGCTTTCGTCCTCGCCAATTTTCAGAGCCATCAGGGCATCCACCTTTAATGGCTGTAGTTTGTTCGTTACGAACCTGGCCACAAACATCTCGGTCAGGCCTTCCCAGGTTTTCACAGTTCCTTTCGGCAACTTGTGAAACCAGTCTGATTTCTCCAAAGGATGAGGGGAACACCTTGCGCAATGGCTTGTTCCCGGGTGTACAACGCCATCGAGTTCAGGTACAAACTGACGTGAAAGTTAGGGTCCGACTTCCCGTCGTAGATCTGGAATCTCGGCATGCTAAACCTCTTCGGGGCTTCGAATTCGGGGCTTCGAATTTGTCCAATTTTACCGAGAATGGCGTTCTCGGCTTGACTGGGGAGGTTACCTCGGCATCTTGTTGCCTCCTCTGTAGGTAATCCCTTAGGTCCTCCTAACTTCAGCCTTTTAGGTGCACTACTCTCATCTTCATTGTAAGCCCTCTTCGACCTTTTTCCATTAGTTGCGTCGAAGCACAACTCCTGCCCTTGAACATGCTGATGTTCTTTGGGGTCTGCTTCCTTGGTGCGATGTGTCCTTCGAGATTCTTCCCTTCTTGACTCTCCTCGCCCGACCTCCCTTGAGGACCGGTGAGAGTGTTTTTCGCTCCTGGTGTGCTGGGGGACTGTAGGGATTGTTTTTTGCCCATCTTGTCGGGCATCATTCTTGGCCGCTAGAATCGGTGTATCTTGTAACGGGAACGGTGGCTGCATGACGTTGTTCTGTATCATGAAATTGACGACTGTTTGCAAGTCCGCCAATTTGTTCGTCATTCCCTTTACCTCATCGTCTCTCCGTAGGCATCTATTCTTCCATACCTGAAGGTCGTCCTCGTTGTAATACCCGCTTTGGTCCATTTTCTTTGGTACGTCGCCTTCTTGGCCGACGTCCTTTCCTCCGTGATTCTTATCATGAGTCTTTTCATTGCAGTTGTCTTCTTCGACGTCAAGGTCAACAGGTTTCCCACTCCCAGTAAGAGTGTTATCCCCGATCTTCTCTTTCTGTCCGTCGTTGGCCATCTATTCTCCTTTCTTTCCCACAGACGGCGCCAAATTGTGTGTGTCAATTTCTGACCACACTGCTAATCAAGCACTCAGTTGGAGAACACTGGCAGAATATATTACGCCCGAACGACCTGTCACAAAAAGAAGAGATTCCGACGGTGGTTCGTCCACCCGGGGGCACTCTGACGATCAAGTCAGTTATCTCTCAAAGATAGCAAAAGTGTTTAACTCACTATTCAGAGCATAAAAAGCATACCTTAGACCCATGAGGGTGCCTCTCTTTATAGCCAACACAAACCCAGTCCCAATAGAAGCCTAGCTTCAATGGACTTAGGATTACTGCTAATCTTGGACTCCCAATAGAATTAGGATAAACTCTCTAAGAGTCTTATCTTTACCCAAACTGAAGTCTTCTCCCATTCTAGGACTCTTGTCCTTCATCCACTTATCCCGGATTCCGGTATTCTTGCAGATAACCTCGGCCTAGCCGAGATCATCTCGACATCATGACCAGGACATGTGACACCTCGGCTGACACTTCGGTGTCACCTCGGCCACTTGTTGTCATTCAAAAATTATGTCCCCACACTATAATTTTGCCGCCACCACCACCACCACCACCACCCGCCACCTACTTGCCGCCACCACTCACCATCCACCTGCCACCACCAACCACCCACCACCACCACCACCCGCTACCTACCCGCCATCCGCCACCCACCTGCCACCACCACTACCACCTACTCGCTACCACCTACCGTCCGCCACCGTTACCCACCCACCTACCACCACCACCCACTCGCCACCACCTACCACCACCAGCTACCCACCACCTACCGTCATCACTTTCCACCATCGTCTTCCGCCATCACTTGCCACCACTTGTCATTTCTCATTCTTTTTTATATTTTTAAATTTTTTTAAACATTTTGTCAATTACAAAACGCGTTTGTAGTTTATGTTTTTCTAAAAATAAACAAAAATCAGTTTATAAAATTTTTATAAATATAAACTGAAAACGTAAACGTTACCAAACACACCCTTACACTTCGTTTTTGTTTTTGTTTTTGTTTTTTTGAATTTTTCCAGGGTCTTACAGGTCGAACTATTCAAATTCATTTCAAAACTTGCATGATCACTAACCAAATTTGTATCTTTCTATTGGTTTGGCTCTCAAGCTCAATTAATTAGTTCAATTACTTATTGTAATTCCCAAACTTTGCAGAAGAATAAAAAATGTATAGCACAAATAATAGTGGATAAAACAAAGCAAGAAATTGATTGATTTGGACATTGGAACCTTAAGGCAGGTAGGAACCACACAATGCCTAACCATATCCGATTCTCTATCCATACATTTCTCAAAATATCTGATTCTTGTAAATTCTTTTGTGAAGAATATCACATAGTTTCCATGAATACCTTAAATCATATGACTAGTTTTGTCTAGCAATCCCTTTAAACTTACATAACAGTTTTCATTTTTAATTTTAGCAATCAAGTGTACAAACCCCTGTTTCCAAGGAAAACTGAAGATAAAAAAACATGTAAACAAGAGAGAGAGAGAGAGAGAGAGAGAGTTAAAAATACTTTATAAAATAACATAACACACCAATTAAGTGCAAATATAATATACATTTCAACAGAACTTACACAACATTAGTCATGAAAACAAAGGTAGCCATGCCTGCAATTCATATCATTTACAGAAATCAGATCACCTTCCCAAAAGAGCCAATACACGAAAAACAGAGCAGGCCTAGGTATAGGATCTAAGTTTATTGCACATGGGTCCTCACATCCTTCAGGGACAGGAACATGAACTTTGCTGAGCTGCCTGGCCTACATCGAAAAGACACAACTTTTAAAAACACCTCTAATCCTAATGTTTTAATTTGATCAGGAAAAAGGTTAATCTTCCAATTAATACCTCTAGAATCAAGGATTCTAACATTAGAAAGTCCCTCTGTCAATGGAATCCTGATTTGCATCACCAAGGGCTGCCTCACTCAAGTACTTGTCGGCCAATTGGACTCTCTTCACATTCTCTTGTTCCTGGACAAGCATGTAACCATACTCAAGAAGCTTTTCAAGTGTCATTTTTGGCTGCTCAAAAGTTGGGGGACCCTCTTTTGAGTTCACAAGCTTCTTCCCAATGGTGTCAACTCCGGCACCTGATATCCACTTCCTCACTTCATCATCGTAGACTCGGGCCCTAAGGGCACCAAAGAAGTCTGCAGAATGACAAACAAAATTTATTACAAATCCATATTTCAGGTTTATTTTCTTTCAATATTTAGATTACAAGGGGTTGGCCTCGTGGCAAGGCCTTGGGTCGAGGGGGTGTGCGCCCTCCAAGATTCAAGGATCGAAACCTCTTAGGTGCTAACAATTCTTTGGGGTCATTGGACTTTGGGAAAACCTTTGAATTAACCATGGGGCATTTGCAAAAAAACTCTTTGCTCGCCTGTGCACCCCTAGGGATTAGTTGGGTTTTGATCCGAACACCCCAGTGCCAATCCAAAAAAAAAAATTTACATTAAAATTTCTTGAGATTAAATTATTACAACAAACTCTCCATTGTCTTAGAAAGATCTCCATTTTCTATCATGCCATTAACAATAAATAATTCACAAAACCTCAAATTATTTTCCAAATATCAAGGCAACAACTACTTGCTTCTCTAAAATTGTGCTTTTGCATCTAGTTTCCTCTGAATTATAAAAAATTTAATCAATACCATTGACATTTAACTTTTCATTAAAAATTATTTTTGAGATGTGAGTTCAATATGATTACCAATAGATTGACCAGGGAAGGTGTCGACAATCTTGACAACATCCTCATCGGGCACATTGTCATCTCAAAACGATTTGCCGGATTTGGACTCTTTGGTTCAGATTAGGAACCATGACATTTCAAGAGTCCGAGCTGTAGTAACCCCAAATGAACAGAACGGGAGCTCGTTCCTCCCGGGGCGTTCGGGGGACGTCTACAGGGAGAGGGTGTCAATTATGGTGAACTTTGTCTTCACTCTCATGGTGCCAGCCTGCACCTCTAAGCTTGCTGCTCCCAGGGGCCATGTCGTCGTTCCATTGAATCCAACCATTGGACCGTTGGACTGTTCCAAGTCATCTTGGTGAAGGCTAAGCTCCTTGTAACACCTGATATACATGATGTCACAAGAGCTGCCCTGGTCGACTAAGATGCGCTTCACTTGGCACTCTCCAATCTGGAGGAATATTACCAAGGCATCATTGTGTGGATGTTGCACCATCTCCAGGTCTTCCTCAGTAAAGGCCACCACTGGTCCTTGGTTCTCGCTTGTCCTAGGTCTCTTTTTCCCGACCTGATATACATATTGCAGGTGTTTTACCTTTTGGGTTTCCCCCCTTATCTCATTCTCATTTACCTTTGAGTGGATCGCATTGATCACTCGAGGCCCACTTGCCTGTGGTTGTAGTGCTGGTGGGGGTGGTGCTGTTGATGCCTGGGGTAGTCTTGCCTGCCCTTCCCCTGTTCTGGCTTCATCTTCCATGTCCCTTAAATGGCCCTCTCTTACCAAGTCGTCCAGATGTGTCTTCAGGGCTCTGCACCCCTGAGTCAGATGTCCAGCTTCATTATGGTAAGCACAGTGCTTGTCAAGGCTTCTTTCCATAAACTCGCCTGGTACTCTTGCTGGTGCTCTGTAGTAGGGCTGATTGCGGATTTTCTCCAAGACTTTGTAAACCGGAATTCGGAATACGGTTGTGACTGCCTGAGTAGCCCTTAATCCGATTTCTGGTTTGTTGTAGCCACCATCATGTTGGCCTCTCTTCGGCGAGCCGTTTTTCTTCTCTGGGTTCAGCGCCTTTGTTCCCGGCGTATCCTCCTTGGCCCTGGCGTACTTCTCTATTCTGGCCATTAATTCCTCCATACTTTTTGGCAGTGTTTTTGCCAATGATTTTCGGAGCAGACAATTATCTTTTAGGCCGTTCTTAAATGATACGACCGCCACCTTTTGGTTGCATTCTGGTATCAAGTTGAATACCTCATAGTACCTTTTGGCATAGGCCCTCAGGCTTTCATCCTCGCCAATTTTCAGAGCCACCAGGGCATCCACCTTTAATGGCTGTAGTTTGTTCGTTACGAACCTGGCCACAAACATCTCGGTTAGGCCTTCCCAGGTTTTCACAGTTCCTTTCGGCAACTTGTGAAACCAGTCTGATTTCTCCGAAGGACGAGGGGAACACCTTGCAAAGCAATGGCTTGTTCCCGGTGTATAACGCCATCGAGTTCAGGTACAAACTGACGTGAAAGTTGGGGTCCGACTTCCCGTTGTAGATCTGGAATCTCGGCATGCTAAACCTCTTCGGGGCTTTGAATTTGTCCAATTTTACCGAGAATGGCGTTCTCGGCTTGACTGGGGAGGTTACCTCGGCATCTTGTTGCCTCCTCTGTAGGTAATCCCTTAGGTCCTCCTTGGTCTGACTAGGAGCTCGGTTATCTCCTGACTTCAGCCTTTTAGGTGCACTACTCTCAGCTTCATTGTGAGCCCTCTTCGACCTTTTTCCATTAGTTGCATCGAAGCACAACTCCTGCCCTTGAACATGCCGATGTTCTTTGGGGTCTTCTTCCTTGGTGCGATGTGTCCTTCGAGATTCTTCCCTTCTTGACTCTCCTTGCCCGACCTCCCTTGAGGACCGGTGAGAGTGTTTTTCGCTCCTGGTGTGCTAGGGGACTGTAGGGATTGCTTTCTACCCATCTTGTCGGGCATCTTTCTTGGCCGCTAGAATCGGTGTATCTTGTAACGGGAATGGTGGCTGTATGATGTTGTTCTGCATCATGAAATTGACGACCGTTTGCAAGTCTGCCAATTTGTTCACCATTCCCTTTACCTCATCGTCTCTCCGTAGGCATCTATTCTTCCATACCTGAATGTCGTCCTCGTTGTAATACCCGCTTTGGTTCGTTTTCTTTGGTACGTCACCTTCTTGGCCGACGTCCTTTCCTCCGTGATTCTTATCACGAGTCTCTTCATTGCAGTTGTCTTCTTCGACGTCAAGGTCAACAGGTTTCCCACTCCCAATAAGAGTGTTATCCCCGATCTTCTCTTTCTGTCCGTCGTTGGCCATCTATTCTCCTTTCTTTTCCACAGACGACGCCAAATTGTGTGTGTCAATTTCTGACCACACTGCCAATCAAGCACTCTGTTGGAGAACACTGGCAGAATAAATTAAGCCCGAACGACCTGTCACAAAAAGAAGAGATTCCGATGGTGGTTCGTCCACCCGGGGACACTCTGACGATCAAGTCAGTTATCTCTCAAAGATAGTAAAAGCGTTTAACTCACTATTCAGAGCATAAAAAGCATACCTTAGACCCATGAGGGTGCCTCTCTTTATAGCCAACACAAACCCAGTCCCAATAGAAGCCTAGCTTCAATGGACTTAGGATTACTGCTAATCTTGGACTCCCAATAGAATTAAGATAAACTCTCTAAGAGTTTTATCTTTATCCAAACTGAAGTCTTCTCTCATTCTAGGACTCTTGTCCTTTATCCACTTATCCCGGATTCCGGTATTCTTGCAGATAACCTCGGCCTAGCCGAGATCATCTCGACATCATGATCAGGACACGTGACACCTCGGCTGGCACTTCGGTGACACCTTGGCCACGTATTGTCATTCAAAAATTATGTCCCCACACTAACTTTGTTATTTTGTTACATCTAACTTATAAAAAACGATTATTTGGGGCGAATAGTCAACCATATAGTAATATATATATATATATATATAAAGTAAATAAATTATTAATGCTACACCTACATATTTTTTGGAGAAATTTCAATTCAGTTAAAATTTTAAAAAGTAATTATAAATTAGTGATAAACATTATAAATATTAATTTTTAAAATCATAATATTTATCATAAAGTTGTTATAATTTTTTGAAAGAACCACTGTGTGATAATTTCTCCAATATTTTTCTTCTTTTCTTGTTAATCTTGGCCTCTGTATAAGAAAATCGTAATAATTTTTTGAAAAAACCACTCTGTGATAATTTCTCCAATATTTTTCTACATTTCTTGTTAATCTTGGCCTCTGTATAAGAAAATTGATGCCAATTTTGGACCAAATCATAGAAAAATTTCGTTGCAATGATTTTGAATGAAAGGGGAAAAAAACAAAAAACAAAAAAGTTACAAAAAAAATGATAAACCTTTTTTATTACTGTGTAATAATTTTTTAAAATCTATGCTAACAAAAAAATCATAAATTTTTTTATTAATGTGTAATAATTTTTTAAAATTTATGCTAAATAGTACTCTTTTTTTTTCTAACACCACTGAAGTGTAATTTCCTCCCTAAAAAAAAGATGGACATAAATTATTATTTTTACCATTTCATTTTTCACTTCTACAAATTTTCTTAATTGTTTTTTGAATGAAGATTGATAGCTCTAATTTTGGAGTTTTAAAAAGAACTCTAATGATGTGGTAAGAAGTGAGATCCACATGTGATGCGATGTGTATCTATATTTTTATTTTTATTTTTTTTAATTTTTCTCTTGTCACATCATTAAAATTCTCTTTAGAGTTCTAAAATTAGAACTCTCTATCATTGTTGTTTTTTATACAAATACAAGACAAGGGGCACGTGGGGCGAAGCAGGGGCTTCTATGCCTTTTGTTGGGCTCACTCATGGCCACATTTTCATCCTTTGAACCGTTAATTTTGTAAAATTTATTGAATAATTAATTATTCATGTAACAAATTAGACTAATTATATATAATTTATTTTTAAAATTATATTTATCATTCATATTTTAATGACTAATATGATCTGATATATGTTTACTAATTTTTAATTAATTTAATTTTTTACAAACATAATTTATTTACCAAATCGTATAAAATTAACTGTCCAAATTATAAAAATAATCTCAAGATGATCCCACAAAGCGCGCAATAGCTTCTACTATGATCATAGGTAAAACTCATACCCAAACTTTATTATTTAACATGGAGAAATGTTGTGATCAGGGACGGACCTAGGGACGGACCTAGTAACGTAGGGGGGCAAACATATATACAAACCAATATTTTAAAAGAAAAGTATAATTACAATATCGATTTTTAGTAATATAAAATGCAAAAAATATCATAAAAACTTATATATTTATATATATATTTTTTTTAATTCATGTTGAGTTATAAAAAATAGGAATGCAATTTGTGATCCCTAGTTGTGAGAAATCATTTTTTTTTTTTTTTTGAGGTTCAAATTATTAAACTTAAAAATAATCAATAACTAATATTGATATAGAAAAGGAGTTCTTGAGAGTGTAAGGGGGCAATCGCCCCCTCTGGTCCATAAATTTACTTGCCATTTATGTCATAGCAGCATTGTATAATGAACTTAACTGCCATATATATGTATATATATTTGATTAGCAAAGAAAATTTTTATTGATGACGAAACCATACATTAATAAGGATGAGATAGAAAAAAGGAAAACCAAGCATAGTGTTGGCACTACAAGAAACTACACTTTTGGCGACTAATTTTTTAGTCGCCAAAAGCGTTGATTTTGGTCGCCGAAGAAATACCCCGACCAAAACTTTTAGTCGCTAGCTTTGTCGCGGGTACGTTGTCGGCGAAGGTAGTGGCGACTAAAACAAATTTAGTCGGCATAAGTGCACACAAATGGCGACTAATATGTTGGTAGGCAAAAATGTAGGGTATTAGCGACTAAAAGTGGGTTAGTCGCGGATGAGTGACATTGGCGACTAATTCTTAGTCGCCCAAAGGTGCATCATTTCATAACTAACATTTTCAGCTACTATTCCTTTTGTTGCCAAAAAATTAAATTTTTATCTACGGCAACCAAATTATTAGTCGCCAAAAAGTGTTATGTTTTAGCTACGAAATTTTTGGTCGCGGAAAAGTTGATTATTCTTTAGCTACTACATATTTTAGTCGCTCATGACATAATTAATTATGCTTTGGTGACTAAATATTTAGTCGCCAAAATTGTTGAGAGTTTTACCTACTACAAATTAGTCACCAAAACTATTTTCAATTTGTTTTTGGCTACTAAGAATTTAGTCGCCAAAAGTTTTTTTACTTTTTGCTACTAAACAATTTGTCACCAAAACTTTTTTTCATTTTGTTTTAACTACTAAATGTTTAGTCGCCAAAATATTTATTTCTTTTTTTGGCTACCAATTGTTTTGTCACCAAAAATATCAATTTTTTTTTTTGTTTTGTTTTTTTCATTTTAATAAATTTGTTCACAACCTATATGCATTCACCACAACCTGTAATAGGTATACAAACAAATCAATATATATATATATATATTATCACTTATTCCTTAATGCATGTTTCACTTACAACCATCAAACAAAAACAAACAGATGTTACATGGAACAATAGTTTGTGAGACAAAGAATCTCATACCAGATGACTCACACTCACTCACAGAATTATAGTTTATGTGCCAACTGTCAATCCTTGTGTTGTTGCTTAGATGACTCACACTCACTCACATGAATAACACTTATACTGGCAACATGTTAGAGACATGTTTATCTACATGTGTTGCAGAAAAGAATTTCCATTGGCAGACGATGACTCCATATTATTTTCAAGACCAGTGTCTCCAACAACACTAGTTTGGCACATAAGACGGGCAAACGACATCAAATCTTTATACACTAAGTTGGATTATCAACTCTTTATACACTATTTTATTTTATTTTATTTTAACTGATATCACTCTACCTTATAATGAAAACACTACTTTGTATCATCATTAAGATTGACTATATTTTGATTTATCATATGCTGATTGGCTCACAGAATCATATGACAGCATCAAACCATATTTTCGGTTGGTGAGGAACCAACAGAGACACAGCAACACTACA